AATGAGACGATGCTCCTATTTTCGAACAGATCTATAAAGTTATTCAAAATCGCTTTTAAATGCAGTTTATACTTGCACGTCATATGTGAGGTATTTTCAAGTCATTTCATGTTTTTAATTACCAAGTTAAAATGTATAAAGTCAAAAACTTCAGAGCGCTAAATCTGTTCTATCATAATGCCTCAATTTTAAGAATGAAATTTTCGAAGTTGTTTGACAATTTTATTATTTCTTAGAAAAACAGTAAAAATAACCAATGTAACAACATTTTGGAAAACTTTTGCTTGCCAAATCAAAGTCATGTGGTGCAACAAATAGGCAGGGGCAAAAATAAGCATTAAAAGGAAATGATGTCATCATTATAACAACATATAGCCCCGTTGTGCTTCAGGCGTCCTGAGTTCGAGTCCCAGCTCGCAGACCTTTCCCGATCCTGTCCCCCTCTTTTTCTCCTACTTCACTTCCTGTCTCATATACTGTCCTATCCTAATAAAAAAAAGGCAAAAACGGCAAAAATAAATCTTTACAAAAAAAAAAAAAAAAAGGAAATGGTCAATAAGTCTGTTAAAATATCAAATAATTTGATCTTTTTATGACAAAGCAAGGTCATGTGGTACAACTCACTGCAAATTTAACTTTAAATCAACTTTATTAAAAAATATATTTTGCTTTGCAAAACGTTTTTGAAACTAATTAAGGTGTGAACACTTACACTAGTGTAAGGAAAATAAGGTGTTACTTCTTGTTAAACCACATGGCATTATATTGAAATATTTCTTGAAAATGGTACGTATAGTTTTTCAAAACCATAAAACCAACTTAAAACAGTACATTTCTAAGAGTTTTTAAAAGACACTCTTATTGGTTGCTAAACCAGATACAGTCAAATTCCTCCATTTCATTACTCGCTTAACCTACAACATTGGCCGTTCCTCTCAACTTTTCCTTCCTTTCTTCACATGCAGGTACGAATCAGTCGTCATAGGCAATGGCTTAGCCAATCAGGTGTCTAATCCAGATGTGGAAGTTGACATCACCAAACCAGACGTGGTGATTCGGCGGCAGATAGCAGTGCTGAAGGAAATGACCAGTCGGCTTAAGGCTGCTTACACTGGCAACGACATCTCATTTGTCAATGGTACGAGGCATCGCTTGTGGTTCAGTTCAAGTGAAATTCAGTATGAAATGTCAAGATGACATCATACAAGCCTGTTTTTAACATTGATCTATTTTTTCCCCCTCGCTCTTCAGAGGATGCCGGCAGTGGAGAGGAAAGCGGAAGTGGCTGTGACTCGCCCCCTTGCGACAGTGACGGGGACATCTACTTCTCCACCCCAGCGCCCGCTAAACCTCGCGTTATCAAGATTCAATCTGACAAACTGCCCTCAAGTGGTACACGGTTGGCACCTTTCAGCCTGACACTGGCTGTGACGGCACTCCTGCTCGCCCTGCTCACCCCACACACGAGATAAGACCGGCCCAGAGAGGAAGAGGATGTGTGTTTGTACGAATTTGAACAAGAGAGCAGAAAACTGCCATAGGACATTAAAGACACTGCTTTCAGGAACTCCGTCTGCCTGCCATCTGGGGAAGACACTCAAGTTATTAATACTCAAATAACTTCCCTTCAGTGTATTTTTTGTGTTTATAAGAACGGACTTCATTTCTGTACAGCTATACGTTTCCACGTCGCTTTTCACATCAGCTGGGTTTTATTCCTCCGTGTTTGTAGTGTCCAGAATCGTTGACGACTCAACATGATTTTTTCGGTTATGGTTTAAATAAGTGTTAGTTTGAAAGTAAGTCAGATTGAGTGTGTATTTGGGTGGATGATGGTGTGTACGATTGGCTGTATATATCATCCGAGCGCTTTTTATGAAAGGTAAACAATTAATCAACCCATATAACACGTATAATTTAAGCAAATCTGTATGAAGTACTCCGATTTTTTTTAATACATTTGGTGTACATGCAGGCTTTGGTTGGCTGCAGATCATATATATGTTCCTGAATTTTAGAGCATGATAAAAACTTCATGATGCCTTAAATAATTCATAAATGGGCCCTTTATTAGGGTTGCAACCAACAAAAATTTATGCAATGCTGCCTTTTGAGTGAAGTCAAAACTAGAGGATCCCCGACACAAAGCTTTTTTTTTTTTTTCTATAACTTTCACAGACCCCCGTATCATCATCCCAAGTATTTTTGGCAGTATAATATATAACTTGAGAATATAGTCTTCAGTAATAACTTAGTGTGTGTGTGATAAGGAAGGAGTTTTGGTTAGGTAAGGTCTGTCTGAAAGTTGATACATTGAATAGGCCTCGATGGTTCCCTCAAAGATGATTATGTATTCTGCATGATGTGGACTGTGTGGCCAGAGTAAAGTTGTTTTTTACTGGCGCAGCTGGATACAAGCATATACTGAAGATGGCTCAAGGCTGAGCTGTCTAGAGGAATTTTACACAGGGTTTTATGTGGAGGTGTTTATTTTGCTAGAGGTGTATTGTAAGGTATAAAACTGTATGATAGGTACTGCAGCAGATTTCACTACACAGTGACAGACGGTGCTGATTTGAGAGGTTGGGTGGCCTCTTTTGGTTTTTCTTACTTTCATTTCTGTTTGTAACATATAATGTCTAGCCTTTTCCCCATTCCCGATTGATATCCATTGAAGTCGGTACACATTTTAAAACCATTCCTCATATAGAGCAATAGACGGCGTGTATGGTGCGTTCCAACACTAGTTTCAAAAGTGGCTATGTATGCGCTTTCCCATTCGGGTGTCTGACAAGTGCTTGTTGGTTTAAAAGAAAATCTCTCAATCTCTTCAAGGGCTTTTCACCCACCTCTCGGAAAAACTAGCTCCCCTCGCTCTTGTACAGTAAGTTATTTAACCACATTCGCAAGCATCGCTTTCCTAGGTTTCTTGATTTCAGTATTCAAAATATTTATGTCTGTAGATGAATGCGTTCTAATGAATTCACAATTTAACTGATGATTTTATATTGGCTTCAAATGTCATGTTACATAATATTTAGATTTTGTAAACCGAGCTACCGTAAGCATTTGTTTTGTCGTTATAGATTTATGTAAGGGGATTGTGAAAATTCTACAAGCTGATGCAAGGACAGGGCTGGCCATCGGTCCTTGATCGTTCCTGATGTCACATGCACTTTTAATTGGCATTCAGATACCTCACGGCAAAGAGAGTTTTAAATGATGCTTTTAATCGTATCTGCAACATGCATACTTTTTACGTACATTTTTATTCATTCGTTTGGAGGTTCATTCAGTATCTATGGATGAGTGGCCAGTCCTCAGACATGGTCAGGGTTTCATGAGCCTGATCTCTACAGCAATGCTACGCACCTCAGATCAGTTATGTATTTTTCTAGTCTAATGTGCTGCCACGAATAGAAAGCAATGTGTTTTCTATACTTCTGACCCAAAGCTTCCCGCTGTCACATGTTAAGATGGCTCTGATGTAATGACCAGGAAAGAAGTGTCTTGTGCTTAGTATGTCAAGCTACTCCGAGTCAGTGTGAAGATGACATGGACTCTTGAATGAACCTCTGCAATGTCATCTTTAGATTGAATGCTGACCTTCAGGTGGCCTGTACATCAGTGGAGACATCTGCGATGAGGAGTGAGAAAGACTGAAGAAAGAAAAGAAAACAATTGTAAATAATGAGCAGTCGTTTTAGTGGTCTCTGAGAGATGTTCATCAGATTTTACCCATTCAGAGTATGTGCTTAATATGGGCGAAACAAAGAGATAGATGCTAAAAAATGTAAGAGAAAAGTTATATTAAACATTTCTTAGTCTTGTTGAAATAAAGACTGCAAATATTTAAATTTGATGTGTCGTGTGTCATTTCTGCTTTACCAGTATTAGTTTTACTGAAATGCTTTGAAAGTCTCTTTGGGAGACCAAGTAGTAAAACAAAAGAAAACAAAGGATGAGTTGAAACAATCATGAACATTGATTAATCACAGCCAGTAATTAAACCGCAGTGTTAAATCTTCCTTTAGTCTTCATGTGTGTTATTAAATCAACAAACTGTCCAGATGAGATGAAGACTGCCAGACTATTAATGTATATTGGATAAGCATCTCCAAAATAATCAGCCCTTGTTGTTTTCTCCCAATAGTACAGAAACTAAATGTGATAGAGACCATGTATGGAGAATGCTACACCTTCACAGGCTTATTACACAAAATGCAAAAATGATCCAATCTAAGTGAAATATTAATCAATGTTAGCTTAGATTCCTGATGTTGAAATATTCTCACATTAAAGAAACCCTTATCCAGTGTGGGACATTAATAACCTGAAATTGATATCTGGTTGTTAATGTTGGCTAATATTTCAATATGTTGTTTTGAATATATATTTACTATAGCACTAAATCTATATACCTAGCGCTTTACAGATATAAGAGCCTGTAAGACAATATCGACCAGCAAAAATAACATTGGTTTTGCCTGTAAAGCAGTATTCTGTAATTCAATTAAAGATGTGTGTGTGTAGTCCTGGTATTCCCTACGTTATAGAGACCAAATGTAGTATTGTAAAAATTGACCTTGTGGGGACCTTATTTATTTATCAATGTCCTCTTGTGTGAGGGGTAGGTTTAGGGCAAAGTCCCAGGGTTGTCAAACTCATTTTCACGAAGGATCCATCTGCCCATCAAAGCTGTAACTGTAAGACTGTACAAATGTTACTACTCCTTAACATAGTTAAATAACTGTCTCTTTATTCTATTATTACTTATTTAGGTTACAAATATTGTACATGCATTTGCATAGATGTAAAAATATGTTATTGTTCTGTGTTATTTTAACAAATCCTTTTAATTGATCAGGTTAAGAAATCCACATTACTCCATAAATCAAAGTAAATACAGACTGATATCATCAAACACAAGTCACTGCATTAACTTTGTTTAAAAAAATTTTTTTACATTTATGGTACAACAAATTATTGTGAGCTGCTAAGAACGTCTGTTTCTATTTGGCGTACGATTTATACGCAGAAATCGACTTTGGCGTGGTGCATATGATAAGCAATCAATGCTTGAAGTAGAAAAAAAGAAGTGTAGAATTGGTAAAATATCTCAGTTGTGATTTCCAAAATAGCGGTCCTAAAGGGGGCTTTAATTGTGAAGAGGGAAAAGCGAATGGGGGCGGTGTGGACCGGGGAAGAGCGAGTACGACATTGTGGCAGAAGTTATCTGAAGATCTCGAAGCAATACGATGCAGGAAAGCCTCGTGGAGACATGTAGACATCAACTACGCTGAACACGAGCAGACAAACGTCCAGAAAGAGCGCTGGGCGTGTTCATGTTTTGATGTGCTGCGGAGGCTCGAGTCTCAGGGGTTTGTTCAACATTGCTCCTGACGCGACGCGGCGGGGGAACCGCACAACTGAGTAATGCTTTCATTTTTCCAGCGAGAAGATGGATGAAAAATCCTACTACAGCCGGCTCCTCGTCGCACTCCTGATGGTCCTGTGTTTCGGCGTCATTGTATTACAATACGTCTGCCCTACGTCCGATTGCCAGTTGCTCCACCTGGCATCATTGTCCTCGAGACTAGGGAGTCGCGCACGCGGGGATCGCATGAGCGGAGCCGGCGCGGGAGATCCGTACAGCTCCGAGGACGGTGCTTTGGTTCGATTCGTGCCTCGCTTTAATTTCACCACCAAAGACCTAGATCGCGCTGTCGATTTCAACATCAAGGGGGACGATGTTATAGTGTTCCTCCACATTCAGAAAACCGGGGGGACCACGTTCGGCCGTCACCTTGTCCGCAACATCCAGCTGGAGAGGCCTTGCGAGTGCCATGCGGGCCAGAAGAAGTGTACCTGTTACCGGCCAGGCAAACGGGACACCTGGCTGTTCTCCCGGTTCTCCACCGGCTGGAGCTGCGGGCTGCACGCGGACTGGACTGAGCTCACCAGCTGCGTGCCTTCCTTCATGGGCAACCGGGAGTCTCAGGAGAGGCGCAGGACTCCCAGGTGAGAGTTGAATTGGTTTTTATCAGTATATCAAACTAATTTCATTGTCTGTAATGGACTGAAATGCGTCTTGATAAACAAACGTATTTCTTTTGTTATGATGTTGTGTGGTGCCTCTCCTTCCCTTCATATCGTTCTCGTTCAGTTCAGTGCTGAAGCCTCTTGGCAAGTCAGTTATGCGGAGACAAAAGCCTCCCAACAGGTCAGGCTCAACCCTGGAGAGTCTGCTTTCATTCAGCGCATTCCTCCAACAGGGGACCAATCATCATAATCATTCGCCCTTTCAGACAGCCTGCTGGCACCAGAACATCTGCCATTCTCTCAGGCTTGTTCTTTAAATAAACGCCCCGTAGCATGGGATCAACAGTGTTTGATAATGTTTGCATTGGGAGGAATCAGATTTGATGATTAAGTGTTGGGTGTTTTGAGTGTAGTAGGTTGGTAGTGTTTTTAAATGTACACTACCGTTTAAAAGTGCAAGGGTTTTTGAAAGAAATGAATTACTTCTAATTAGCAAAGATGCATTAAATTGTTAAAAGTGACCGTAAAGATTTCTATTTCAAATGAATGTTCTTTTGGACTTTCTCTTCATTGAAGAATCTTGACAAAATGTGTCAAGGTGTCCACAAAACTGTTAAGCAGCACAACTGTTTTCGATATTAATAAGAAGAAATGTTTCTTAAGCAGCAAATCAGAACATTAGAATGATTTCTGAAGGATCACGCAACACTGAAGACTGGAGTAATTTAGCTTTGCCGTCACAGGGATAAGTAGCATTTGAAAGTGTATTACAATAGAAAAAAAATATTTCATAATATTACTGTGTTTACTGTACTTTTTGTTCAAATAAATGCAGTCTAGTGAGTATAAGATACTTCTTTAAAAACTGATGTCCATCCTTTTTGAATGAACGCACCTAAGTTTTAGTCTTCATTTAAGCATTAACCGTCTTTAGTAAGGGGTTAATCGTCTTTAGTTTACCCTGAGCCCCGCTTGGTGGTTTCTTGATGGTGAGGCTTGGAATGAGTTGGGATTCTGATTTGGTAAGTTCCCCAAGTTATGTTCGTTCGTTCTGTTATGGTTGATAACCAATGTATGACAGATAGTAAAAATTTACATTTAGTCATGTAGCAGACACTTTTATCCAAAGTGACTTACAAATGAGGACAATGGAAGCAATCAAAATCAACAAATGAGCAATGATATGCAAGTGCTATAACAAGTCTTAGTTAGCTTAATTCAGTACATGTAGCAAGTTTTTATTTATTTTTATTTTTATATTATATAATAAAAAAAAAAAGAAAACGGAATGGAAAAAGAATCGAGCAAGCTAGTGTTAGAGGCCTTTTTGCTTTTGTTAGTTGTATTATAAATAAAAAGAAAACCAATAGATAGAATAGAGAAGCTAGTGTTCGTTTTTTATTATTATTAAAGAAAACAAGCAGTAAATGAACAGAGTGCACATCTAAAAGGGACAAGTTTTTTTTTTTTAGAATAGAATTAGAATAGAGAGTGCTAGAGTTAGAGGGTCAAGTAAAGATGGAAGAGATGTGTTTTTAGCCGATTCTTGAAGATGGCTAAGGACTCAGCTGCTCGGACTGAGTTGGGCAGGTCATTCCACCAGGAGGGAACATTTAATTTAAAAGTCTGTGAAAGTGATTTTGTGCTTCTTTGGGATGGCACAATAAAGCGCCGTTCACTTGCAGAACGCAAGCTTCTAGAGGGCACAAAAGTCTGAAGTAATGAATTTAGGTAAAGGGGTGCAGAGCCAGTGGTGGTTTTGTAGGCAAACATCAATGCCTTGAATTTTATGCGAGCAGCTATTACAGTGCAAATTGATAAACAGAGGTGTGACGTGCATTCTTTTTGGCTCATTAAAAATTAATCTTGCTGCCGCGTTCTGGATTAATTGTAAAGGTTTGATAGAACTGGCTGGAAGTCCTGCCAAGAGAGCATTGCAATAGTCCAGCCTGGACAGAACAAGAGCTTGAACAAGCAGTTGTGAAGCATGTTCCGAAAGAAAGGGCCTGATCTTCTTGATGTTGAATAAAGCAAATCTGCAGGACCGGACAGTTTTAGCAATGTGGTCTGAGAAAGTCAGCTGATCATCAATCATAACTCCAAGGTTTCTGGCTGTTTTTGAAGGAGTTATGGTTGATGTGCCTAACTGGATGGTGAAATTGTGATTAAATGATAAAAATATATGCTTTATCTAATTAAATTGCAAATAAAACGCTAAGAACTCAAATCAACTGTTTTACAAGTGATTTTGGGTGTCACCACTAAACAATGTAAAATATGGATATTTATTTTGAGATCTGCTTAAAGGTGTTTTATAATTATTAGTGTTTTTTAAATATTAACATTAGGTGAGAATATAGTCTAAATGTATAAATAAGGGAAATGAGCATGCACAGTTAAATATGCAGACTGATGCATACAAATATAAACCATGAAAGTCCTGCTTTTCAAATGGACACAATTAGATCAAATCAAAATCCCATGGGCTAATCTTTGGCTTGTAAGTAAAGGAAAAGTTGAAGCTCTCCAGAGACTTCCTCTCCGCTGTTGTTGAATGCATTTGTCCAGACAGTCTTAATTGATATTCATATGGAAAATGCCCTGGATGCGAGCTGAAAGATTATTCTTCTCATTCGCTCATTATGCTGAAATGCCCATAATTATAGTCAACCAGCAATAATTCATTCCGTTTTCCATCAAGATCGCTCCCCTGACACACTCCAACCGAAACTATGCCATGAATAATTCTGTCAATGTGAATATGCACAAATTATGACAGCTTTACCCAACTTAATGATTCATACGTGATATTACTTTTCATTTTGTTTCAAGTCAATTGTGACTACTTTATTTTGAGCTCTTTTTCTTAAAATCTTCTCTTTCTTGCCTCCTATAGTAGGAACTACTACTACATCACGATTTTGAGGGATCCGGTGTGGCGGTATCTGAGCGAATGGAGGCACGTTCAGCGCGGTGCCACCTGGAAGGCCTCTAAACACATGTGTGATGGCCATTTACCCACCCTGTCCGAGCTGCCCAGCTGTTACAATGGTGACGACTGGTCGGGTTGTTCGTTAGAGGAATTCATGGCTTGTTCTTACAACCTGGCCAACAACAGACAGACCCGTATGCTGGCCGACCTCAGCCTGGTGGGCTGCTATAATCTCTCCATCATGAGTGAGAGCCAGCGCTGGGCCATGCTATTGGAAAGTGCCAAACGCAACTTGCGAAACATGGCCTTTTTTGGTCTGACCGAATATCAGCGTAAGACGCAGTACCTCTTCGAGCACACGTTCCGCCTGTCCTTCATTGCACCGTTCACGCAGCTCAATGGCACGCGTGCTGCGAGCGTAGAGGTGGAACCAGAGACCCAGCGCAGGATTCGAGAGCTTAACCAGTGGGACGTAGAGCTGTACTTATACGCACGGGACCTTTTCCTCCAGCGCTTCCAGTACGCCAGACAGCAGGAGCGCAGGGAGGCCCGGCAGCGACGCCTGCAGGAGAGGCGCAGGTTACGTGCCAAGGTGAAGCCTTGGTGGGGGGTGACTGGAAAAGCTGTTTTTAAACCCACCAAGGAGCCACCAATGACAGAACAATCTCCCATTTTTTCGGAAGAAAAACAAGCAGATGCTGGACAAACGCTGATGAGCGAGACAGAAGGACAGGTAGAGGACAACTGGTTAGAGGAGGATGACAGCGAAACCATATTGGACTATTTAGAAAACGTAGAGCAGTGGCGGTAGCCACCGGCTATTTGGGAAGAATTTGGGAACTCAATACCCCAAGGTGAAGCCTTGGTGGGGGGTGACTGGAAAAGCTGTTTTTAAACCCACCAAAGAGCCACCAATGACAGAACAATCTCCCATTTTTTCGGAAGAAAAACAAGCAGATGCTGGACAAACGCTGATGAGCGAGACAGAAGTACAGGTAGAGGACAACTGGTTAGAGGAGGATGACAGCGAAACCATATTGGACTATTTAGAAAACGTAGAGCAGTGGCGGTAGCCACCGGCTATTTGGGAAGAATTTGGTTGCAATATAGTAAATAATTAATTTTCAAAGTCACCATGAAATCAAAATTGAAAATTCTTATTTTTTAATGGAATACTGTTGTTTATTATAAATAATTTATCCGTGCACTTCATCATAATTTTTTTTTAATTCATGTGCCCTCGTAATCTTTAATCAAAAACATTAAAGGGTTGTTCACCCCCCGGAGCCGTGTGAGACACTTTTTTTTAAATGGATGGGCGCATTTTAATTAAGTGCTTTTGGACTGATGCATGCAACACCCGCTGAGTGGCATTAAACAGCTTGAAAGATCAAAGACAATTTTTAATATAACTCCGACTGGATTCGTCTGAAAGAAGAAAGTCATATACACCTAGGATGACTCGAGGGTGAGTAATTTATGGGCTAATTTTCATTTTTGGGAACTAACCCTTTAACCTCCCCTCCCCCTCAAAACGACTCCTCTTCTCTTCTGGTCACGAGCTATGGCGCAAGGGCGGAGCTAGTGACGTGAGGGGGTAAACGACAGGGGGAAAAGCTGATGCTTCACTTTATAGCACTGACACCAGTCATGAGGGAGTACGTTACCCCTAAACATTGAAAAGATATTAGGATATTACGACAACATTACTCTTAGGACATCGCAAACTATTTTTTTTCATGAATATGACTTTTACCTGATGGAGGACGAGCTCAGTCATTCAGGCAGTCACTCTCTCTCTCCGTTAATTGGTTTTAGAGCAAATATTTTGTTGGTTTCTCAACTTTTGAATAGTAGTAATGGTCATGCACTTACATATTCAGAGTTTTTAGAATTTTTTTTATTTTATATACCTGTTAAGGAGTATACGATGGTAATTAATGCCATTCCTTCAGAACTTAGGAAATTATTAGAAAATGATATAGTCGAAAAACCAAATTTAGACTTCAGTGTTAAACTGGAAGGTATAAATATAAAAGAACAAAAATGTAATAATAATTATCTTAGAACGATTTGCCAAATTTCCAGTGTTCCTTTAGCCATTGGTTTTTGGAGATCACAATTTCAAGATGTCAACTGGAAAGAGACCTTTAAGATCTCCAGACGTTTTTGTATCACAAATAAAATTAGAGAAGTATCATACAAGATCGTTCATCGTATTTATCCTGTAAAACAGGTAATTGCAAAGTTTTGTAAAGACATTGACTTGAAGTGTGTTTTCTGTAAAGAGGAAAATGAGAGTATTGTTCATTTATTTTATGATTGTATTTATACAAAATTATTTTGGTGTGATTTTTTTTGTTTTGTTAAAGTATTAATATTGAATTGCAACTCAAAGAAAAGGATGTTTTATTTTTTTATGAGTATACTGTTGACTTCAAGATTTGGTATATTGTGAATTTACTCATTATATATGGAAAATTCTTTATTCACAAATGAAAATGGACAGTGAAAAAGCCTAATTTTACTCATTTCAGAATAGAATTAGGTCACTACCTGTATACGTTAAAAGAAACAAGAAATAACAAAGCAAAAAAAAACTAAATTACTTTAAAGCCTTAAATCTATTCTTTGAATAATTTGTAATTATTTGTACTTGTTTACAGACGTGGTTTTTTAATTGCTTTTATTTAGCTTTTGTTTATTTTAAGTATTTGTTTTTATTCAGTTTAAATGTTATTGCCCTTATATGTTCTTTGTTCTAAAAATTGCAATCAAAAAAAGAGAAGAAAAGACAATCGCAACTTCCGTTTCATGCCGACTTTAATAATAATTAGCCGATTGTGTGACACGTCAGGTCATGTGATGTGAATCATCATGGCTGCGTCCACGAGAGGGCGACCCGCTCCATGTGAGAGTTAAACGGTCATTTCTAGAAGAATATGTCTGGGCTTCATCATCTCATGCGTGTAAACATATTTTAATAATATTTAGATTCAATTCTTTAACGTGTAAAGTTTTCTCGTTTTAAAAAATGCTAAGTGTTCCTTTAAAACACAATTTACTCATAAGCAAAGTATAAGTTATAGAGTGAGGACGTATCTTCATGTCTAAATAGTTACATAGGCGCTGTACTGTACGATATTTATTGAATGCATTTAAATACTAAAGCCTTAGCGTGTAATATATTTCTCATCATAGGTGTCCTCATCCATGAGGCGCAGTTTGCGCTGAGGTCGAGTGGGAATCCCCCTAAAATGGAGGCAATACATGGGAATGCACGTAGTGCCGTGCACACTTTCTCTACTCCTCCCTTCTGCCCTCCCTCGTCTCGTCTTCTGCCTAGCAGCAGCTAGCAAGTTCGCTTCACGCTTCCCCATCGCTCGCTTCGTCGTTCAACTCGAAGCACCCCGCAGCCGCTGGTCATTGTCCGAAGCTTTACGCAGCAAACCGCGCGAGCAAAAGCTCTCGGTTCAACGCCGGGAACTTTTGCAACCAAAGCGCGCGCCTCACATCAGCCAGTGATCGTGACGTAGTTATTGACAAATCATTATTTCGCTTTGCGCTGCATTTGATGTCACCCGAGCTCTAGCCGCGCGCTGTCTGCACAGGTGAGTCATCTGCTTTCGTAAAGACCACTGTTTCATATTATTTTGCCAATCTTGCCGCACACATGTTAATTGCAAATGTGATTGGTGTAATGCATTGCTCGCTGTCACGACTGACGCTCGCTCGTTTATGGGTCTCCATCTCCAACCTTGCTTTTGCGCACATGGCCTCTTCGCACCGTGACGCATAAGTCTAGAATTTAAATGTCTCCATATGCCTAGTAGCCAAGTCTCTCGTTTGACCTTAACGCGCAAGCCGTCACTTATAGTAAAACGCCAGTAACGCAGTTGGGTGTCACACATTGATCATACACTTGCTGACAGCTGTTGAGCTTCCCATCGATGCCCTGAGCAGCGCCTAGTTTGTAAACAGGTTGGATGGAGCTCAAACTCTCACATGTCATGAGCCCCTGTAATAGTCAGGTGCAGTGAGTTGTATATCTTTTCTGATGCTGTGTTTTTATGCCTGGCATCTGAAACTAGTAATGCTGTCATGCTGACATTTTAATTTTCATGGCCAGGGCTGGGTGCAGTCCCAACCATAAGGTGTTCACCCACGGTAGGAGCTGAATTTGTCCTTGGCTTCCTGGAACATGTAAAAGTTGGTACTGGAAAAGTGGGCGAGGGTGGTTTTGTATCTTGGTGTGTTGAAGTTAAATGTCCTTTGTCCCGCTAACCCTTAACATCATCGGACATTTGCCAGAATAGACAACTTGTCTAAAGCAGAATGCTTGAGTTAATTTTGTCGACCATGTCTGAGTTGTTGCATAAAAATCGATAGTCGTGTGCATTCCTTATAAAAAAATTGAGTCTGATAACCTTTATTTTGCACTGTCGAGCCTGTTTATAGTACATTTTTAGTAACAGGGTTCCCACAGTCATGGATATTAACAAGTTATTAAAAGTCACAGACATTTGTGCGGTGAATTTATACGAATACTTTACAGTAAGGTTCCACATGTTGACATTAGCTACAATGCAATTGCAATTTTACCATTTTTTACGTACACAAATATTTATAACATTTCAAGTTGCATTCATTTTCATTAGTTAATGTGTTAAGAATAAATTAAAATTGAACAATAGTATAGTTATTAACTTGAACCTAAATGAATAAATGCACACAAATGTTAATTGTTAAATAATTATACATTAACAGTTAATAACATTATTTTAAGTGTTACCATTGTTTTAGTTATACTTTAAAATATTTAATTGGCTGGATATTAGTTATTTGTTCATTTCAGTGTTGTGCCATGTTCAAGTTTCAAGATGTTTTCTCAGGAAGAGACATTTGAATCCTAAAAAGTATAATTGATATATACCATCTGACATAGAAAATCTGCACCAGCTTTTATTTCTGAAGATCCATATTGAAAATCAAAAGGGATGTGAACCCTGAGTATGCTTTATTCACCTGTGCACAAATTAAAACCGTAGAGCTATTGAGATCTGGACAGTCACGTCCCTGAACCTGCCAGTTGTTGCATTGCACTTAGAAATTGCTTCATATTAAAAATGCCATTCATTTTTATCTTATCTGGTTACAGGCCACAGGTATAGGTTTTATATACACACGACAATGCAGTTGCTTTCAAGTCAAGTGCATAACATGGACCCTACAGTCGTGGTGCGAGAGCACCTGCAGTCGTGTGAGTGGCGGTTGACATTCTGTTTGATTTCACACCTTATGATGTGCACTGTCAAAGGTCAGGTCGCAGGAGTCCTGCTGCTTTAGAGGCCTGGTGTCTGTCAGACTTCAGTGGCATCGCTGCCCTTTAGTTATGTCTGCGATTTAAAGGTCCTCACATGGCTGACAAGTCATATATCTTGATGGCAGTACTCAGCACGTACCCTGCTTCTCCCCGAGGGGTCTGTTTATCCTTCACTTCCTGATTTAAACTAGAACTAGACCTACATACGGTGAGACGGAACGCTTTCGGACGACAAGCTCCATTAGTTCCCGGTGGTCACGACTGTTCAGGCAGTCGCGAGAAAATGAAAGCTATTCTTGTCGACCGTGTGGGGTTAAATCAGGTGAGCTGCTAAGACGGCAATAACCCTTCACCACACCGGGAGCAGATAGGGAATAGGATATTAGGAAGCCCCTTGACGGTCCCACGTGCACATGCTCGCACCTCACATCCGCATATTGCCGCATGTGCTGAAACTGCACCACAGGTTCAGGCACGTTTGCCACCGCCGTTGTGGACTTTGCTCTCGCTTTCATTCACC